TCCAGGGAAGGCATGCCATCAGTTTTGGAGTGAGCAGCCCCAACAATCCACAAACAATTCAAAAAGCATCTATTAAATTCATGGCTCCCCAAAGGGCTTAGCACATAGTGGGCAACATATAAATGTTTCTTCCCCTTTCCCCTCCCCACCTCTAATCTGTTTCCTACTGTGTTGGCTAAGACGGTACAACTCACAAGTCAAAGCAGTGCTTGTCTTCAAAGTGTTTACATTTCAGTGGGCTTTAAAAGCTTGGAAGGTGCCACAGACCATGAGTATGAATGTTTCTCCAAAGTTGGCATTTACCTCCTCATCTTCTAATTAAATCTTCTTTTTTGTAAGCACCAGTTTTCAATGTACATTTAAAACAGACATTGTATATATACCTATGTAAACAAATATATATTTCCCATTTTAAAATTTGCTCACATTACCAGAGTATTTTCTATTACTTTTAACTGTATATTTTTTTAAAAAGCTTTTGAGGCCCAACCTTGGAATCAAACTGCTGTGTATAACACTGTTGTTTTGTTTTGTTTTGTTTGTTTTTGGTGAGGCAGTTGGGGTTAAGTGACTTGCCCAGAGTCACACAGCTAGTAAGTACTATGTGTCTCAGGCCAGATTTGAACTCAGGTCCTCCCGACTCTAGGGCTGGTGCTCTATGCACTTTGCCACCTAGCCAGCTGCCCCTTAACACTCTTTTAAAGGGAAAACAACTTCTGAGTTTCCAATACACACATTTGCAATGCAGCTTGCCTATAAACTGGGCTCTTCCTGCACCTAACTGCTGAGGATCAGGCAACCACCCTACCTACACACAATACAGTAAGATACAACTGCACACAATCTGTATGAGCTGAGCCAAGAAAAGTGTAATGATGGATCATCATTCCAAAGATGACTTTGTTTCCTATAATGGCAGGTGATGCCTTTCACCTAATAAATGTGTGTTCAATTGAATTGAGTTCTAAGTCAAGCAGAGTTTTTGATGACCATTTGTCTAAGATACTGTAAATGGCCCTAGATATGGCTTGGAAGAAATGACCATTAAGGTCTATTCCAACTCTCAGATCCTATGAGTCGCGGGTCATCTCAATCACCTGGACTGATCATTAAAGCTGAATTCAGTCATTGGTTTAAACACACAGCTTGGACATTTTGTGTGTACAGACACGATTGTAATAAAAATGATCATGATGATAACCAGCATTCATACCGAGCTTTAAGATTTGCCAAGAACTTTATATATCTTACCTCATTTAATCTCATTCTACTTTTTTTCTTGGGGGGAGGAAAACTCCTGATACAGGAAACTCCCTCCACTGATGGAGGCTGGCAATTTGTAACTTAAAATCTTACAAAGTGGCCAGGAGCACAGAGGTTAAACCAACCAATCAATCAACAAGCATTTATTATGGACCTACTACACACCAGGCTCCAGTGCTAGGAATGCAAATCGAAAAAGAAGCATTTCTTGTCCTCAAGTTTCCATTCTATAGGGTGATGCAATACGCCCATATAGGTACACACAAAATAAATACAAGGTGATGGATCTAGGGAAAGGAGAGACTACAGCAGCTGGCAGAAATCAGCGAAGACCTCAGGGAGAAGGTAGAGCTCAAGGTGAGCTTGAAAACAAGAGATTCTAAGAGTTTCTTACACAGTGCATTCCAGGTGTGTGGTCAGACAGACGGCTAAGGGAGGACTTGAATCGGTGTCCAGCTGACTTCAAGGCTAGCTCAGCTCCTCTATTTGCTATCCCATACTGCCCCTCATTTTCTAATATTAAGGCTATTAAATCACATGATCAATGTTATCAGATTTAAATGACCCAAATCCTAAGAGAAGACTTCATTATTGAAACTTTAGGACCAAAGGATAGTCACTGCAGGGACTACATGAACTAGTCATTATTGAAAAGGTGGACATTCATTTACAAATGAAGGAAATTTCTACTTGAATGCATTCCATTCTCTCTGAATGACACTAGACCATTACACAGAGAAAATAATCGTTCACATCATTTTTTTACATAGAATCTGCTTTGAAGATGCCAAGGAAATGAAGGCTGTTATAAAAGGAGTGCTTTAGAGGTCACCAAGAAAATTATGGAATCTGTTTAAAGGGAGCTAGAAAAAAGGAAGACAAGCAGATTCAATTGCGAAAGGGCTCCATTCAAAGGGAAACATTTTCCTCAGGCCTTAGCTATTTCTCAAAATAAGAATGTTCAGATTTATCTTCATGATTGTTTTGCTGGGGGGGGGGTGTGAAAATGTTTTCCTCACATTAGTCACCTTTTAAACAGCAGGTTGGGTTGAAATTATGGCACACGCTTCATGGTTTCAGCAAAGTGAGGAGTGCCATTATCCACCTCATATCTCTCCCCAAATCCCAACCAAGTCTGTGATTCTTTTTTTTTCCTTTGCTGCCTCATATTGTTTCTTGCCTCTGTCTCTTCTGAAGTACAAAATTACACCTTTTTTTTTGGTACTGTTATCTTGCTGATATATATATGCACACACACACACGCACACATGTACACACACACATTGTATCTCTAGAATTTTCTTCTTTCCATGCTATAAATTTATGGAGATTTCAGGATCAAAGGATCCCAGATATAGGGCTCTAGAGGTTATCAAGTCCAGCCCCATCATTGTACAAATGAAGAAACTGAGGTACAGAGAGGTTAACTGACTTCCCTAGAGTTCCAGAGATTGTATCTAAGATGGGATTTCAGGCCAGGTCTTCCCACTTATTTCTTTGTTTCATTTTCTTTTTCTCCTAATGTTATTGCTCCTTAAAAAGTGATTAGAACTACACAGAAAAATCTAGATGTGATCAAAGTAACTGAGTTATCAAGAGCTAAGACGGCACCAGGCTAAAGCAATTCAACAGCAGTAAAAACTCTACCGTCCAGACTGGAGATGCAAAGAAATGGGACGATGCGGAAGACCCCAGATCAATGAGTCACAAACAAAACGGAGACGATTAGCAGTCAGCGCTTCAGCACTCCAGGAGCACCTCCTAGCGGATGACCTTGTCTCCCACTTCAGTGAGCACGTGGCCATTCTCTTTCAGGAGGGTTCTCAGTTCCCCCTGTCATACCTCTCTACATCCTCCACATCTTAACTTACGTTCTCTTCCTTTGCTCCAGACTGAGAGGAGGACGCTCTTCTTTTCCATGCCTGGGCTAATGCCCTCTCCTTGTGCCTCTGACGCCATCGCTCTCTGTCTCTGTCTGCCTTTTCTCTCGTTTTCAAATGGCCTTAGCCCATTAAAAAATACCTTATAAAAATATAAGAGAAGTATCTTTCCTTTTGTGAGGTAGAACTGGGTTGGTACTGAAATAATTTTCACTCTTTTTCACTGTGCTTCTACTATGATAGTTCAGGAAATAGCAGTCGAGCTAAGGTACTATTACTGAGCATGGGAGGGAACAAAATTAATTTGTACATTCCAAGACACCATTTAATTTCTTTTACTACCTTCTCCTGTCTCTTATCTCCATGCCGTTCCAACCTGCCAAACCACTCATCTCCCCTCAATCCAAACTTATCTCAGAACTAATCTTCTCGGGGAAACTAACCCAATTAGCAGGGAAGCATATTCATAGGTACCCTTGGGCAAATAATTTCCCATCAACACTTAAAATAAATTTTAAGAACTCAGGAAACCTCAGACAAGAGAAAGCTAAATTATTCTAATACCTTCTTTCAAGAGAATGTACTTCAAATAGGAAAAAGAGCACATTTAGGGTGTAGACTGCATAGCGTCTAATATACTGCAAGCATGCCGTGACTAGAGAATCAAGTTTAACTCGACAGAATACTAATGGCGGAAAGGACGAGCAACAGAATGCTCACTGCCGCTTGCCGTGATCTTTAATTATCAAGCACAGAGAAAAATCTGCATTTCAGATTTCTGTCAAGGTATCCAACCTATTACCTGTTCCTTTCTTCTTTAGGTGGCTTCCTATGGGCAGCTGGACACTGCAGATCACTTCTTTCAACAGTTCCACAGAATAAAATTGCTTTAATATTTACTGCTTCTATCTTGCTGACATGCTGTTGTCTCTAACTCATCTGCAGCCGATGTGCCAATATCTAAAAATGTATTATAGGACATGTGGTCTAACCAAGCCAACGTTGATGTAATTTTGTCTGAGTAGACCTAATTAGTAAGTAAAGCAGGTGAGAAGGCCCTTTGCTGACACTATTCACTCTCTTTATGTTTACATCCCAATGCAGCTGGGAATCCAGAAGCAAGCCTTTTCTATCCAAGTGCTTGGTTACTCTTTAGCTAAGTCAGGAAAGGAAAGGAAAGGCAGCTTAGCAGAGCTTCTGGATCCATGGTCCATGAGCTACCAAAGTCCCTTTCCAGCAGGGATTAGAGAAAGGAAAAGGGGGAGCCTGTTTCCAGTCTTTAAAGTGGAGCTTCAAGTATGCCTACCTCCTAGTACAGCCCCACAGATCCCCACACATCCCCATTCAAACGTCAGACCAGAAACAGATTAGAAAGCCAAATATCAAAGGCAGGAGGATTTTCTGACCTCTGAGCTTACCTGGGCTGCTCTTTGGATAGCTGAAAGTTAACAGGTGTGTTACAAAATCAATCAGCCCGTAAAAAACCAGACTAGGAGCTGCATGGCAGTCCCCTCACCTGTGAAACACCATTGTGACATCTCTATGGCAAATTACACTTAACAATTTCATTCTCGTGATTTTAACTGCCCTTCTCATCAAGCTAGAATCACAGAGAATGACAATCTAAAACATGCAGAACTGAGTGCGGTGTGAGCCCTCTCTCTAGATTGGGTTGGGATTTTTTTTTTTTTTGAAACTACCGGTTAAACCTTGTGATCTCATGGTCGTAGCCTGCTGAGCTTTCACAAGCAGGGCCGCTGGCTGAGACCAGTGGGGGAAAGCCTCTGTGCAGGACATGTTCTCTGACATGTTGGGGAGGAGCTTGTATTAGGGCAAGATGGCTGTACTGGCTCTTACCTGGATTTCTCTGTATCCGCTTCCTTCGATCTCGGAAGGCTGCACCTGATTGCAGGGCCTCCAGCAGATTATCCATCACACCTGTCTCACCCTCTGGAGGAAGAGAGAAAGCAGAATTAATCTTGGAGCACTTCAAAAGAAAGCAGAGAAAAAAGTTTTTAAAAGGTGGGTGGGTGGGGGGTGGTCAGATTCGCATAATACCCCTAATTTCAAGGCATAGCTCTATTACTACAACATGGCTCCTGTTACTTTTTGGTACCATGGACTGACTATTTTGTTTATTATAGAGTGTTAAGAAAAATTCATCCTTTCAACTTGAAGACCCAGTCTTTTGTATTATTGATGATAGCTTGGGATGCAGATAAACACCAGCTGATCAGCTAGCTTTCTATGAAGATTCTTTTAAAATGTTCCAAACTGAGAAACCACTGGCCTCCTTTAATGCAATCAATGCAGAGGGAGTTTGATGAGGCAGAGTTATACAAGGTTAAATACTGATTGTATTACTATGTCAAGTATTCAGCTGTCATCAGCTACAATCTCCAAAGACACTGTTTGCAAAACACATTTCCATTTGCTTTTGCCTTAACCCTTCCCTTTTGCCCATTCCACAAGGCTGACATTAGAGGGGAGGAAAGGTTGACCAGCATTATTTGAATGATATAGCCATCCTAAACAGGGAGACAGCAGCCAGAAACCATTTGTCTTCCCCCCTCCCCATTAGGAAATGAGCTTAATTTTCTAAATCTTGTGGCTAAGAAAGATATACGTTAAAGAGTCTTTTCATTCCATAAAACAGGTCCAGGAAAATATCTCAAACCCATTTTCAATAGTTTTTCCTCTTTTAACCTCCTGTTATACTGGGCAATGGAAAGCAAAAAGTCTCGACGGTGCCCAGAATCTTTATTTTTCAGTTTAAATGACCATCAACTCTACTGTACTGTGGTCTCCCCAAATGCCATGGGGCCACTTCTCCACTAACTAGCTCTGACAAAGGAAGAGCTGCATGGAAGAGAGGTGGGGCAATCTGTTTGTAGTTTTTAGGCTCTCTCTGGAAAGTCATACTTGGATGCAAGGTCTGTCCAAACCCTCCCCCTCTCATCCCTAGCTGCCTACCTCAGCTGTACCCGTCCACAGTCTACCTGCTACCAAAGGGGCTGAGCCCTCTGGAATGGCCACAGGTGCTAACAGATCCTCCTCTAGTTAGGACTCTTCCCAGTCTTTCCCTCTCCTTGGGCTATGAACAACTGAGATCTCCCTCAGGAGAGGGAGAGGCCTGCATCCCTGGCCAACCTCTCGTGTACTGGGTACTTCTCTGCTCAGGCTTCCCTGAGTCAGGAGGAAGTGTGGCCATTCTCTTCATGCCTTGATCCTACTTCCAGACCATCCTTTTGCCATCATCATTCAGCAAACACTCCTCCGCTTCGAGGGTAGCTATTACACCTCCATAACCATCACGCAGGCCAACCCACTATGGTCATCTACTAGGCACTACATGATCTTCTCTCAAGGTATTCTGACCCTCACTCCCAGTCACCCTCTGCACTTAGCCCTGCCCTCATTAGTAGTGACTCCAACTTACACCTTGATGTCCTGGCCTCCCAGAACCTCCATCTTCACCTCACCTCAGCCACACACAGGGGATCTGACAATCACTCATAATGGTTTTACCTCTATTATCCAGAACTCTGTAATTCTTCTCTCTGACCATAATAACATTTTATTCTTCCATTTTGTCCTCTTCCTCACTCCTCCTAACCCTTTTACTCATCCTGATGACAACCTCCAGTCTCTCTACCTCTCTTAGTCCTCAATGTTGATCACCCCAGAGAGGAACTGCCTTTTCTCCCTCATCAGTCTTGCCCTAGAGGATAACCATTTCAACTAGACACTATTAGCAATTCTTTAATTCCTTCTTCCTTTGTCCTACTGTAATTCTTTCTTGCCAAACCCTTCTGCTTCCACCCACTTCTGAGCTGCCAAACACTCCTGAAGAAAGTCACAGAATCATAGAACTGGAGAGCTGGAAAGGACCTTGGTGACCATCTGGTACAACCTAGACCTGAAAGGAATGTCCACTGTAACATAACTGACAGTCACTCAAACTGTGGGCCAAACAATTCACTATAAATTTCCAAAAGCTGTTCTCATTTGGACCCTCACTACTGCCTGGCTATCCTTTTATTCTTCCTTGATTGGCCCTCTGCACATTCATAATCATACAATGAGGTCTTTCCTGATTCCTGTTCCTGCCCCCCCAATTCCTCAGAGTATTAGTACTCTCTCCCACTCTCATTGGTTCAATTTTCATCTCTATGTAAATGATTCCCAGATTTAAATATCCAGCCCTAGTCTTTCTTCTGAGCTCCAATCTCATATCCCCAACTCCTTTTTTGGGTATCTCAAACTAGATGTCCCATAGGCATTTCAAACTCAGTGTGCCCAAAATACTACAACATTGCTCCCCGAACCCTCTTCTCTTCCTAACTTTCCTGTTACAGTTGAGAACACAGCCAATTCTAAAGTCACTGAGGCTCAAGGGTGTCACCCTTGACTTCTCAGTCAATAAATATTTATTAAGTGCCTACCATATGCCAGGCACTCTGCTAAGTGCTATATAAATGCAAATCAAAAGTAAGACAGTCTTTGCCCTGAAAGAACTTACAGTCCAATGAGAGAAGACAACATACACAAAAAAGCTGAAAAGTATGGTGGGAGGAAAAGGAATTGGGTGGAGAGGCATGATGAAGATGTCCAGAGAAATCCTAAAGCAGTAAGTACAGCTGCTGGGAAGTGGGGAGAAGATTGTGCTGGGTCCCCTCTTGGAATGGAGATTTTAGAGTTCATGGCTTTGCCCTCCAGCCAGAGGGTCCAATCAGAGAGGGAGAAAGGATGATACTGATGAAATGAGAGAGTACCAAGGTTGATTCAATCTTGTAGGATGATGGGATTGCCCAATGAGGGGGATTCCTTACTCACTCACCTCAGCTAATCAGAGCTAATCACTTGTCACCTCTTGTTATTTTAACCTTCACAACATCTCACTCATATCCATCCCCTCCTGTCTTCCAACACAGAGACCACCCTAGTTCTGGCCTCCTTCTAAATGTCTCCCAGCCTCAGTTCTCTCAGCTGCCAAAATGATTTTCCTAAAAGTGAAGATCGCACTATGTCACCCTCTTCCTTCAATAAAGTGAGTAGCTCCCTATTAACTCTAGGATCAAATAGAAAATCTTTTGTTTGGTTTTTAAAGCCCTTCACAACCTGACCCTTTCTTACCTTTCCAGTCTTCTTATATTTAACTCCCTTTTATGCATTCAGATCAGTGTAATGACCAACCATGAATCCAGAGGACGAATGAGAAAGCCTAACGTCCACGTCCACCTCTTGACAGAGAGGTGAAAGATTCAGAGTACGAAGGATGACACACACACTCTGTCTCTGTCTGTCTGTCTCTCTCTCTCTCCTTTTGGACATGACAATGGTGGAAATTTCTTTTGCTTGACTATGCATGTTTGTAGAAGGAATTTTACTTTTCTTTCATTCTCAATTGGGGAGGAAGGGAAAGAGAGAAGGCAGATTTTTTTTGCTGAGGAAAAAAATTTAAATTTAATTTTAAAAATGCTTTATACTAGATGTGAAAAGTCCTTGATTTTACTTAGAAATCTTGGAAAACCTTTGGATAAAGTGATATGATGCAACAAAGTAAGTGTGTTGGAATTGGCAAGGGAGAGTTGATGTGATCTTGTATAAAACAGGAGTGAATCTGAAGATCTGGCAGTGGAGAGGAAGATGTGAGGACCTCTGATCCATTTCTGGCTGGAAATTGGTGGAAGAGAAGCAAAAGGTAAAAGGAGAAAGAAAAAGTAGGCCGGCTGTGGTGAAAATGGAAGAGAGATCTTGAGGAGGGCCACGGGGGTCCTATATGCATCCAGGGGATGACTGGGGAATGAAACCAGCAGGTGCAGGCCACCTCTTCAGGGGTGGAGGGAAGTTCCCAGAACAGGGCTGATCTTTCTCCAGGTTCCCTCTCCCCTCACTGTGATTGTCTTTGCACAGACACCTTAACAGAAGCTGCTTGCCTTTTTTTTTTTTTAAGTGAGGCAAATGGGGTTAAATAACTTGCCCAGAGTCACACAGCTAGTGAGTTTTTATGTGTCTGAGGCCGGATTTGAACTCAGGTCCTCCTGACTCCAGAGCCAGTGCTCTATCCACTGCGCCATCCAGCTGCCCCTGCTGCTTGCCTTTTTTACTCAAACAATTTTAAGACCCTGAATTCTGCCTTAATCACAAAGAGGCCAGGAATTAACTAGAGATAAATATAAATGATAATCAGAGGTTCTTAAACTTTTGTGTGTGTGTGTGTCCGGCACCTCTGTGCAGAATAATGTTTTTAAGTGCATAAAAAAATTACACAGGATTACAAAGGTAACCAATTCTATCAAACTACAGAGATCAATTTTTAAAAATCGAGCTCATGGACCCCAGGTTAAGAAGCTCTGATTTAAATGAAGTCAGAGAGCCAAACCTGTTCCTAAGTGTTAGGAATTTTCCTAACTGGGGGTCTCTGATCAATGTGATTATACTCTTCACATCTGATTTACTATAAAATCCCTAAAGCTACAGAGAGAAGCACAGGGACCAGAGGCACTAAACTTAAATGAGCTCATTTCTGTAAGAGTGTAGCTGATTGATTACGTCTCCAGAGACAAAGGAAGTAGGAAGGAAAAAGGAAGGAAAAAGAAGACACCACTCATTGGTCACCGGCACACCCCATAACCATGTTACATGTACACAGTTATTTGCATGTTGTCAATCCCACATGGTGCCAAATGAAAACAGAGACAACCATGCAACTGCTCTCACCGGGTCCACTACAAATTTGTTAATCCTTTGTTTGACATTCAAAGTTCTTCATAACATAACTCCCCTCCCCCTCACACACCCCTTCCCAGTCTTCTTCCACCTTACTCCTGAATAGGTATCCTTCTATCCAGTGACACTGGCTTCCTGACTGTTTTGCAAACAGGACACTGCACCTCTCAGGTCCAGGCATTCTCTCTGGCTGTCTCCAATGGCTGGAATGCCCTCTT